ATACATCTCATTTTGTGCATGCCAGTATAGTAGATGGCTTCAGGTGGAGAATTATTTAAATGCATCCATAGCTTCTCCAACACTTAGAAAGACACTTACTCCTCCTCCGAATTTATCCACAAAGTTGGCCACCTTCAACTTGTGAATTACTTGCCACCTTGGATTTGCAATGACCATCTGGGACAATTATGAAAAGGGTAAAAATTGACAATCAATCAACTGATATACATTCTGTTAGTCGAAAAGTAAGAAATGACGATGCTGCCTTACTACCTTCATCCCACTGGAATCAAGATTCTTGTACAGTTCCACCAAAGAAGCAATTCCTGAGGTATCAATGTCCATCAAACCTATGAAATGAAAAGGGTTTTTTCATTGATTAGTATAACTGAGTTTGTCGATATGCTGTTGGAAATTTCTTCAGCAGGGAAATGAAGACTTACAGGAAAGGTCTAGAATTACAAGTTTAACCTTTTCTTGGTTGTTTTCGGTGTCCCCTTCCTCTTCAGTAACCCATTTGATAATCCTTTCAACAAACATTGGAAAGGTTTTAACTCTTGCTGTTTATAGTTGTAGTTTACATTATCTTTGTGGGAGGAAGCACTCAATTACCTTTGCCGGACGAAATTGGCATTTGCAAAACAGAGCAATGCAGACTTGAGACGCAAGATTAAGACCCCAGAAGTCTTAACAGCCATAGGATACTGATTCACATCACCATAAATATTAGTTCCTGGAAGCCTCCCCAGGAATTCAGTTCCTGGCCGAATGGAGATGAGAATTATCTTTGCAAATGAAATTGCTACCTGCATAAATTGTCACAAAACTTTAATCTGCATATTCTCTTACTTATTTCAGCTTAAGAGTCAAATAAATAATAATAATAATAATAATAAACACAGATGTAAACAGAAATTAATCAGTTGGTAATGTGGAATGTGATTCCTTTTTTATTTTCTGAAAATTTTCAGCTAAAATTCTCTGCTTCTTTGATTTGAGGCCACTTCCCACCATACCAGTCATAATGCTCTAAAATTTGCAATTTTGAGTGAAGCAATTTATCCAAACCGCACAGTACTGTTTACAAGTCATTCTTCCACAGCAATTTAGCTAGAACTAAAGATTATGTGATAAAAATTGCACATAAAAAGATAGGTAAAGAATAAACATTACTGCAACAAGAAGACCAATCTCTACAGATGCAAAGAGCACTCCCAGAAAGGCTCCAATGCACGCGAAGAAGTCAAGCTTATCAATCTTCCAAATGTTGTAAGCTTCATTGATGTGAATTAGACCAGGAAGAGCAGAGAGAATGATTGAAGCAAGAATTGCCACTGGAGTATAATACAATAGTCTTGTCAAAAACTCCAGAGAAATTAGAACTGTAACAGCCATCACCATGTTTGACACTGCTGTTTCACAGCCCGCACTGAAATTCACAGCTGTCCGCGAGAATGAGCCTGCAAAATTATATTGCTTAATAAAGTTGCTGCATATGTCAGCAATAACATTTTCTTCAATGTTTTATAAATTCTTACCAGTGGCAACATAGCAGGAGGTGAAAGAGCCAATAATATTCATGACGCCCATGGCAACCATTTCCTTGTTTCCATCAAGGTGGTATCCCTTTAAAGAGGCCAATGACCGACCAACGGCAATTGCTTCCTAAGATTCCGAAGACACAAACAGAATGGAAATGGATTTAAACTGTTCTAAAAATGTTCCAATGTTACTTTTTCAGAAGGCGTGGGAAACATTTTGACACTTACCGTTAGTGCAACTATAGCAACAATCAAACCAACCTTGGCTGCTTCTCCTACATGTGGCCCTTTGAACTGCAGCTGGTGCACCGAGCTTGGGTTCAAGCCTCCTTTGATGTGTTTCACTATCTTGACTCCATGTTTATCAGCTCTTGTCAGGAAGACAATTAGAGTTGCTAAGATGACAGATAAGAGAGGAGCAATGGCTGGCAGCCAAAAGAGTTTCCTGTTTCTCCGACCCTATAGAATCCCAAAGCGAATTTTTTGATAGACAGTTCCTTTAAAGGTCTGATACATTCTGAATCAAAAGCTAATAGCACTTACCAGAAATCTGGTGATTAGGATGAAACAGAGGAATGAACATCCAATAATGAAATTGTATGGCCTCCACTGCATGAACAAATTAGTCCTGTTAACATATAAAGATGGCTTTGGTCTCAAATAAGATATAAAATAAGTGAAGTAAATATCAATACAGGATGCTCAAATGATCTCCACACGGCTTTGATGACAGAGATAACATCAGTCTTGTTTGTAAACTGAGTGATCCCAAGTAGGCTTTTCAGTTGTTGAAGACCAATGACAATGGCTGCTCCAGCAGTGAACCCAACAAGTGCAGCATGTGAGAGAAAATCCACTAGGAAACCTGACCTGAAAAATCATGCAAGTTGATTAGATAGGAGGAAGAAGAAGAAACACCAAGAATAACCAACCTAAATTTTTTATGCCAAAAAAAACCTACCTGAATATTCCAAAAGCAGCTTGAAAGGCACCCGCAAAGAAAGTAGTAGTGAGCACAAGTTTCTGGTAAGCAACAGGATTAGCCACAGGGTCTTCTATTCCCTGTATCAGTGAGGACAAAAGCAGTGAAATCACAGCGACTGGTCCAATGGCTATCTCCCTTGAAGTTCCCATCACAGCATAAATGAGAGGTGGAACGACACTAGTGTCTGAGCAAATTAGAGAAAATCATTAGTAGACAAAGCAGAATACTAATTAACAGAAATTCGATGATGTTGCTTACAGAGGCCATATTCAGGGTCAAGCTTTGCCAAAGTTGCATATCCAATACTCTGACACAATGAAAATTTTTTATCAACAGATATGCTCATTTAATCTGAGGACTCTCAACTTCATTATCTGCTTACCTGTGGAATGCAGAGGCTTGCAAGAGTTAGTCCTGCCAATAAATCATTCTTGAATTTTATTGCTGTGTAGTTTCGGCCCCAGGAGAGGATAGGAAATGTTGCCTGCATGAAAGAAATTAGATATTTCCTTGTGGACTGTTTGCTGAGAAATGGGATGTTGTTTCCACAAGGAAAAGCAGTTTCCATGAGCTCACAGCCTAGACCTGGTGGCTTGGGGGTATTAAGCACCCACTGGATCCTTTCAGTAGAGCCATGTTTCTCAGGCTCGAACATTTCCTGAGTCATGGTGGGTTCAGAGGTTGGAGAAGGCATGGTCATTTGAAGTGTTTGGGGGAACTTGCAGAGAGCTATTTCCTGAGTTATGGTGGGTTCAGATGTTGGAGAAGCCATGGTTATTCGAAGCTTTTGGGAGAACCTACAGAGAGCTCTGAGCTCTCACCTAGTCACCTTCCCTCTCTCTCGCACACAAGAAATGATCAATAGGTTTGAGAGAATGGAATCATGGCAAATAAAAGGGCAGTTAAGGGAGCTTACTTATTAACAGAGAAGGCAAAATCTCAATGGAAGATGAGGTTTGAATTTTGAACAGAAAGAAAAGGAGATCATGGATTTAGATTTGTTTAGGAACTTAGTGGAGGTGGAATAAGAATGACCTCCTTAACTGATGAAAAGGCAAAACAGTCTTCTGGCAATGTAAATATTCATACCATAGTATTTAGGTATACAGTGATGGCAACTATAAACAAAGTAACCATAAACAAAGTACAAACTATCTATGCTAATCAAGTTGCTACTTGCATTTCCCTTAAAATTTACAAAAGGGCATTTCTAGAAGCAAAAAGATCATGACTTTTTAATTTGTATTATATATTACCACTTTGCAAAGGGGAGAGAGTATTTCTATGCAAAAGTAACAACTTTTTTGTTTTTTTCACAACTGAGGAAAGACCCAAAAAGAAAAGGAACGTCAAAGATGTATGTTATTGGCTAATACATATAAGTGAGACACCACCTTGCACGTCCATGGGTCATAATTTCTCCTTAATCCACATATTTCCTAATGGAGAACATCCCCACATACGAAACCCCTTAATGTAATACGAAAGAACAGAAATATTGACCAGTCAGTTGCAAAACAAGCAACCAAAATAAGTATCAGCAAAACCTCAGTTTGGCACATTGCAAGGAACGAATTAACCCAGCAACATCGGGTCCCTTGAGCAGACAAATTGGGATAAAGTTTCATGAAACAGAGCTCCAGGGTAAACATTGGCTGCCTCTTGCCTGGACAATCTCCAAGATCACGCTCCTCCTTAACCGATCAGAATCCAGAGGTACGGCCGCCATTTCCTCCTGCACTGCCTCGTCTCTGTCCATTTTCTTCCCTTACCAAGAAGCCTAGTCCCCTGCCGTACCACGAACGGCTTCCCAACCCGAGCAACTCCAGGTTTTGGCCAGTATAGTTAAAATCTTTCGAATCTCTGCAACTGGTAATGACAATTTCAGGGGAACCAGGGAACGACAAGTTTTCCCGCCTCAGTTTGTAGAAAAGACCTTTTTTCTTTGTTTTTTTTTTTTTTTTTTTTTTCTAAAATGGTCTATTTGGTTATATTGTCCCCGTGGGGACTAATCCGATTCAATTCCTAATAAATTCATTCTTTTTAAACGCAATATTTGAACCCTTTTGCAATAACTTAAAAAATCTGGGTGTTTAATGGACTAAATTACTATTAATTAGGTTTAAATTGTTATGTCAAACATTAGATAGTAGTTATTACCACACTTAATTTTATTAATCTCATATAAATTGTTAAATTTTTATTTTAACATAATAATTAAAAATAATTAATAATTAACAATCAAATTTTTTATTGTTTACTCATATAATAAAACTAATTTATAAATAAATGTTTTTAAATATTATAATTAATTATTTTTAAAAAAATTATAAATTAACAAAATTACAACAAATTATAAATCAAATAAAATTTAATATAACCATAACCACAGCCTCAAATATCATTACCTTATAATTTTAAATTCTAAAGAAATGAATTTATCACCAATTTAAGGGTAAAAAAAAAAAAAACTACCATAGACACAGGTAGGTATAATACATAACTGCAAGCAACACAAGTCGAATGTATTTTTTTCTTACAATCTGCATTTTTTCAGGCCTATGAAGGGGAAGATATCACAACCAAGTTAACCCCATCTTTTATTTCACACTCCATTATTCGTACATAAGAGACTAAAGCACTTAAATAGACCACATGAGAGCAGTAATCAACCGAAAGAAGTTGGCACTCAAATATTGGCAGCCATATGAACACCATCGCTAGGGACTAGTGGCAGCCATTTGGGCACCAAGGCATGCCTCCATGGCTTCTGCAACACTGACAAAGACCTTTCCTCCAAGTTGCCCGACAAAGTTTGTCAATCTTAGGTTGTGAATCACTTGCCATCTGGGGCTGGCAATGGCCAACTGAGGAGAAATTGCAGAGGACTTTTTCATATTAAGAAAAAAAAAAAAAAAAAAAGAAACCAATATCTATTTATGAAGAAGCAGCTTCGTTTGTGTGCAATCTAAGGGCTATCATTTGTGTTGTACCTCGATTCCTTTTGCAGCAAGATTCTGCTGCAGTTCCTCAAGAGAAGCAATCCCTGATGTGTCAATATTCATCAGACCTATCATCAAATAAATAAGAATATCAGTAACAAGCGAATGAAATTCATTAATGCCTTTACATAGCACTTACTAGACATGTCGAGGACAAGATAAGTAGTTCTTTTGTTGTCTTCATCATCACCTTCAGTTACCAGTTTCATTATCCTTGAACAATGAAATAAAAGGAATATTTAGCCATTAACCAATTCATATAGTTTCATATTTTCATAAGTAAATGTAAGACTGCACTTGCATCTGATGGATATACATATACCTTTCCCCAATAAAATTGGCATTTGCATAACAAAGTAACCCAGACTTGAGACGGATAATCAGGACTCCGGGAGTCTTTAAAGCCATTGGATACTGATTGACATCCCAAAAGATGTCAGTTCCAGGGAGTCTACCAAGGGTTTCTATGCCTGGTTGAATTGAGATCAGCAGAACCTTGGCAAATGATACTGCTACCTGCCACAAAACTCACCACTTCAGCTACATCTACTGGCATACTTATGCTGCCACCAGAAAAGTGCTTAAACCTTAAAAATTGACCATATATATTATCCATCATAAGAACCTGACCAATAATACGGTTAGTACAGTTTCCCAGTCCAAATATGTTCCCTTCTTTTATGTTCTAGAATTGTCCTTTATGAACTTAAATTAGGTTGAAACTGCTTGAGGATATATGTAAAAAGAAAGGAAACTAATAAACATTACCGCAACTAGAAGACCTATTTCAACAGAAGCAAACATGACACCAATGAAGGCTCCAATACAGGCAAGAAAATCTAACTTATCTGCCTTCCAAATCTTATAAGCTTCATTAACGTTAATGAGTCCCGGCAGAGCAGAAAGAATGATGGAAGCAAGGATTGCTGTTGGGGTATAATACAAGAGCCTTGTCAACAATTCCAGAGACAGAAGGACTGTCATGGCCATCACTATATTTGACATAGCAGTTTCACAGCCAGCAGTGAAATTTACTGCTGTTCGTGAGAATGAACCTGTATTAATTCATATTTTAGTTCCCTAATCAAACAAGAAGATATTTAATAGACTAGAAGATTCTAGCTTACCAGTAGCCACATAACAAGAGGTAAAAGATCCCACAATGTTCATGAAGCCTAGAGCAAACATTTCTTTGTTTCCATTGAGGTGGTATCCTCTTAGGTTTGCAAAGGATCGGCCAACTGCAATTGCTTCCTGAAAAGTTCATTAATTAAAGTCAGAAATGTCATTGCCTTTTCTGTTTTATGCAATTAATTCAAGACACACCGTGAGAGAAACAATGGCAACAATGACTCCAATTTTAGCCACTTCTCCAAGATATGGAGTACTGAAGTTCAACTGATGCAGTGAGCTTGGATTTAGGCCTCCTTGTATATGTTTAACTATCTTGGCCCCATGTTTGTCTGCTCTCATCAGGAAAACGATTAGAGTTGATAAAATGACAGATATTAAGGGAGCAATGGCTGCCACCCAAAACAGTTTCTTGTTCCTTTTACCCTGAAAGATCAGATAAAAATGCATTAGAATAGGGAAGGAGGGGCAGTCAAGAATTCAAGATATAATAGAGCCATGGCAGCTGTTAGTAGCACTCACCAGATATCTGGCAATTAGGATAAAGCTCAGGAATGAACATCCGATCATGAAATTGTGAGGGTTCCACTAGGATTAGATGAAAAGGAATTGATCAATGAATTGTTCTAACACAATTCAATTTCAAATTGAAGATCATGAATCCAATTAATGGTTAATGCATGTATAAGAGCTTAGTGGCATTTTTCAAATCCCCAGCCTTTCGGCTCCACAATGAATTCTACTCTAAATTATTATCACTAGTACATTAAAAGATAAAATTGCTTGTTTTCATTTGAACTTTCATTTGAACAAAATTTATTTTAATTTTTATGTATTTGTCCCATTACTAAAAGATGTTTGATCTATCCTGGGAGACAAAAGGGTAAATAAGGAACCATACAGGATGCTGCAATGATCTACATGTGGCTTTCATGACGGAGACAACATCCATTTTGTTTGAAAAGTAAGTGATTCCAAGTAGTTCCTTGAGTTGTTGCAAACCAATAACAATGGCTGCACCACCCATGAACCCCACAACAGCACCATCCGAAAGGAAGTCCACAAGGAAACCCATTCTGCAAAACCAACTCCCCAAAATAAGAAAGACTACTTTGTTGACAACCAATTCAATCTTAGAAGAACATTAACTAAGTTAATAGTCACCTAAGCAGCCCAAAGGTAGCTTGAAAAAGTCCGGCAAAAAAGGTTATGGTCAGAACAAGCTTCCTGTAAGCAATTGGATCCGATGCAAGGTCTTCCAATTTCTGTGCCATTGAGGACAAAAGCAGGGAAACCACGGCAACTGGTCCAATTGCTATCTCCCTTGAAGTCCCCATTACAGTGTAAATGACAGGCGGGACAAGACTTGTATCTGATTTAATACATAATTTCATATGTACTTTGTGAAAATGATTTCATTGGACGTACAATTGAAAAATTAAATGTTCACATAAAAATGGTTTCTTTGCCAACAAGTAACATAAGAATTGTAGCAACTTACAGAGGCCATATTGGGGATCAAGCTTAGCCAAAGTTGCATATCCAATGCTCTGCAAGAAACAAAACGAAATCCTTAATTTTCAAGGAATTAAGAAAGTTCAAAGTTCAAACCTCTGCAAATACACTAAGTTTATAAATAGTTCATCTATCCATGTTCAGTGGTAGTCACCTGAGGAATGCAAAGGCTAGCTAGAGTTAAATCCGCCATTAAATCCTTCTTGAATTTCATTGCCTTATAGCTCTGGGGCCAATGAAGAATAGGAAACATTCCCTTGACAAAGGAAAGCACAAGTTTGGATGGAGGATTGGTTGGATCAGGTAGAATGGATTTTCTCAACAATCGCACAAGCTCATGCCATAGAGTTGGTGGCTCAGGGGCATTAAGTACCCACTGAGACCTTTCATTCATCGCTTGGATTTGGCAGGTTTCGGTGGCCGAAGGAACCATGGTTGATTGAAGTGTTTGGGAGAACCCCAGAGAGATTTCTCTCTCTTTCTCCAAGGTGTTGAGCATCAGAGTTACTGATTTAGAGAAATGGTATCATACTGAAGAGAGCCTGAGCATTCTAGCACCACTTATATACTCATAGAATGTATAATTCTTTCTGGGGTTAGTGGCAATTTCTTTTTAGAATAATGCTGCTAATGAACGTGAGGATTATTCCTATGCAAAATATTGTCAATGATTTATTTGAAAGTGTTCCACTTAATTAGATGATCAATTAGATCCTTGGTCTTTTAATAAGTATATAATCTTTTACACTAGTTGGTGATCCTCAGTTCTTCATCCATTTAATTTATATATAATGTGATCCTCTTGGAAAGAGAGATCATTGTATATATCCCACTCGCAGTCGTAGATTATATCTGGGTTAGTTGTTATCTTTCTATACAATTTTTTTTTAATACTTGAGAAAGTAGTTGTTCTTAGCAATTGCAGAAAATTGAACCCCTAAATTTGAAATAAAATTCAAGTTTTGAGTTGGTGTCTTTTTCCTCGTGTGCAGAAGAGATTTTGAGGAATGTTTGATTTGGGGGAAGGGTTTGGATTTTTTGACAAATAAGATTGCTTTATTTTTTAATTTTATAATTTGATTAGTTAAAAAAATCATTTCTCTCATTCATTTTCCTCAAATTAAACAAACTTATGGTTGTCCTTTATCTTTCAAGATTTCATAATCCTTATATGAAGAATTTAATGAAGTATTGAAGCATCACTTTTAGTCCTATTGTAGTGAAATATTCTCTTTATGCTGATAAAAAAACTCAACTAAATTCTTATTACCTAGAACACAAACAATGTTATGTTGCTAATTGCAAATCCCTGTTTGGTGGAAGTGGATCAGATCACTCCAAGAAGTAGAAAGATGATGGAGAATTTCATGGAAGAAAATTGATTGTGGAGCCGAAAGGTAGCATATAAGAGAAATGCCACTGTATAGAGAATCACTAATAACTTATTTTTAACTTCAAGTTTAATACATGAATAAGTAAGTATGATTCTATTCATCAAGTTTAAGGTTTAAATTTTAAATAAATAAAAATTATTTTTTTTAATTACATGAGGATAATGTGAGGTTATACCTTTAAGATTATTTAAAAAATAATAATTAATTTTGAATACACAAAAACTAATTCAAAACTATCCTAGCCATCCAAACCCAAAAAAACACATGACCTAACTTTGATCGCAGTCTTGGGACTGCTTTTCCCCCTACTCTACCCATTAAAAACCATTAAATTGAAAAGGGATGAGAAAACGATCTTCAGAGCAAATATAATGGCTGGGCCGGTGTTGCTTTTGACGTTAGCTTTTTTGTCTTAATCAAAAAATGCTAGGGGATGATCACGTTTCTGATTTCTCTATTCCACAATTCCTTTATTTCGGAATTTTCGAGCTTGAAACCTCCCATTCTTATTCTCTCAAAGAATAAGGCGTGAATTAACGTCTATGTCTTCTAAAAGTCAAAGAAATTGTTCCCCCGTTTCAAGTCCACTAACATGTACTAGGTAGAATTGGTTCTCAATTTTGAGTTTAACTTGTAATGAAAAAATAAATATTAGAAGAACTTTTTTTTTTTATGAGACTTAACATGATTTGATTTTAAATTAATTAAAATATAATATAACTTTTAAATATCAAAAGTTAATAAAAAAATAAAATTGTCTCTTTTAAAAAAAATAATAAATAATAATAAAATATTTGCCCCATGCCTCTTGATTTTAAGTCTCCATTACAAATGATAAACACAGTATTACGTCATACTAACATCTTAAATACCCTTTTGCACAGTCTAAAGAAACAAAAGAAAGAAAGAAAGAAAAAAAAGAATGAAAGTAATTAACAAGAAGTTGTGATATCTAACTTTGGAAACATCCAAAAAAAGTGATACCATACGCACCAAGAAAGGAATCGTGGGTGGGAAGAATTGGAGAGAGATGATGCATGATCCTCTTGATTCATCTCATAATGTGTCTTCTTCCATCTATCGATTTCCTTCAATAACAAGCCCTTGGTTTCCTCCTCATCTCCATCCTTTTTCTTCACGCGAACCAGCTTTCCCTTCTTGATTTTGAACCCCATGTTAAGGCACTTCTCTTTAATTTTTAGCCCCAACCAATTCTCTAAAACCAGTACTACAAGAGAGTAAACTAATCAAGTTTATCCCTACCACTTTATAATATCAATGATTAATGACGGGCAATACAAAGAATGTTGAATCATTTTTAAGGGTGAAGTCAACTTGCTAGAGTACAACAAGATTTAAGATCCTTTTTTTTTTTTAACAAAAGGGAATATGACAAGAGAAAATACAAAGAAAAAACAAAATAAAAATCAACAAGGTCTTATTAATTTTACATGAAAGGCCTTTTTTTTTTTTTGAACATGTTACATGAAAGACCTTTAAAACGGAATAATTTTAAGACATGTATGTTTCAATATAAAATTCATTTATTCACAATCAAAAATTTAAAATTTTATGATAGTCTTGTAATTTCACCTCATTAACACAAAAACTTAATGTTTGGATAGAGGGAAATGGAGGGGAGGAGAGGGAAAGAGAAGATTTTTTGATCAATTAGATTACAATATTTAAAAAAATATTCTAATTTAATTAATTAAAAAACTTTCCATTTCTTTTCCTCAATCAAAAGATAAGGTTATAGCATGTATTATTGTGTTGGGTTACAATCGGCCCAAATCAACCTACTACGGTTGACCCAAACCCACTGATGAGTTTTGCCAGCGCTGACTGCCACGGGCCCAGAGAAAAGAAAAATGTCATACAATACATTTCTCATGGGTTGGGCCTTAACCTTCATTCAAACCAGTAGCATCTGTGTCAAACCTATATTGTCTCACGGGCTGGGCCTCAAAAAATCCACGTCTACTTTTTTTTTGGTTTTTCGTCCGATATCCGAGACTTCACCCTGATTAATTCAGATCGACCCGCATCGCGCACCTAAAAATGGTGGGTGAGTTTCCCAACGAAAACTGTTGCGTACACAAAGTCTCAAACTCAAGATCTTGTTTAAGTTGAAACAAACCGTTTATCACTTGATCCAATCCCTCGTTGGTAAATCCATGCCTACTTTGAGAACCAAAGTCAAGGACTCTAGCCTCCAGGCCCCACCGCCTTGACTATTTGTTCCCGACAGCAGCAACGTCGGGGCGTAGCTAGGACATTCCATACAGAGAGAAAAACAATGATCCACCAACAAGATGAAAAACGTAAAGAAGCTGCAACCTAATTGTCCAAATGACTAAAGAAAAAAAAAACTAATTTACTACCAATTTACCTGTCAATTCTTTGGTGATAATGGGGGGTCCAGGAATATTTGTTTTAATAGGGAATGTGGTGTGGATATCACTTGCTTCAATTATATATTCCCCCGTGGCTAAAAAGAAAATTTATATACATTCCCCCACGAGGCCGGCCACAACGTGATTGAATAAATAAACACTGGTTCTGGGAAACCAACCAGATCCTTCCTTGTTATGCCTGAATTTACTAGATTTTCAGGCTGTCCCAATTATATACAGTACTAGTTTAATAAAAATTAAATATAGAAAGTCATCTACAACTAAAATTAAAAAGAATCATTATAAGAGGAATAGATAGGAAAATTATCCTATTAAACTGTTAAAATTTCTAAAAAAATCCTACTAAAATTGTCAAATTCTAAGAAAAACAAATAACCTAACAAATGATGGTCTTAGCAATTAAATTATCTGAAATGATATTAGAAAAATGGAAAATGATACACCCACACTCTCTATATACACACTCCGTTACACATCCACTCCATCTTCATTTCTTCTGTTAACTCCAATGGCAACCAACCTAGCCTTTTCTTTCTCTCTCCTTTCCTTTCTCCTTCTTGATATTCATCGTCCTCATCAGATTCATCTTCCTCCTCACCTCTATCCTCATCCTAATTTCTTATCAACCAAACAACATATCTTTTTTATTGGGTGGCCAAACATCAAATTTGTAAAAATTCTAACAAAAATTTATAAAAATTCATTATTATCTTCTTCCTCTTTTTTTCTCTCTCTCCTCCATCCTGCTGTTCACCGTCCTCACCAAATCCATCTTCCTCCTCACCTCCATCCTCATTCTAATTTCTTATCAACCAAACAACACATCATTTTTATTGGATGGCCAAATATCAAATTTGTAAAAATTCTAATAAAAATTTATAAAAATTCATTATTATCTTCTTCCTCTTTCCTTCTTCCTCTTTTTTTCTTTTCTCTCTCTCTCCATCTTAGTATTCACCATCCTCACCAGATCCATCTTCCTTCTCACCTCCATCCTCATTCTAATTTCTTATCAACCAAACAACACATTTTTTTTATTGGATGGCCAAACATCAAATTTGTATCAAATTTGTAAAAATTCTAACAAAAATTTATAAAAATTCATTATTATCTTCTTCCTCTTTCCTTCTTCCTCTTTTTTTTTCTCCCTCCTCCATCTGGGCTCTCTAAGAGAACCCAGATGGTTCTCCAGGAGAACCCAGATTTGGGTTCCCGGAAGAGAAGGAAGAAGAGGGGAGGAGAGGGAAAAAGGAAGAAAAAGAAAGGAGGAGGAGGGAACAGATCTACAGATAGAGAGCTGAAAAGCAAAGAGAGGGAAAAAGGAAAGCAAGGAGAGCAAGAAAGGGCTGGGCTGGTAGTAACGGAGAGTGACAGATTAAATAACAAATAATAAAAGGGTGTGACAGAGTGTGTATTGGGAGAGGGTAAACGTATTACTGTTTTAGAAAAATACTTTAGGGAATCAATATATTAAAAAAATTAATTAATTAAGAACATTTAAAATGGTGAGATCCTTCTTCGCCCCAGGTATGTGGACAAGGGGCTACTGCTACCCCTTTTCCCACTCAAAGGAATAAAAAAAAAAAA